TTTTATTATTTATTTTTATATTTAATTTTATTTATTTCTAAAAAAGAAAATATTTACTAATTAAAATTTTCACTTTTTAAAAAACTATAAATTCATTAAATAATTAAAAAAATTTTTAGATTTTTATATTAAATAATTTTAATATAATTAATTTCTTTTTTAAAAGAATTAATTTGAGAAAAAGATACATAACACTATATTTAGAGAATTATAATACGATTAATTTGTATTAGGTAATTATATTTCAATTATATAGTATTATTTTTAACATAATATATTATATTATTTCTAATGCAATAATAAAAATTATATCGTTAAGTATTTCTTTAAATATTTTTTTCAGCTTTGAAAGTAAAAAATCAAACAAAAAAATGAAACAAAAACATAAAATTAATGAAAATAAAAACATATAAATAAATAATGTAGTTATGGTTTAAATATTTAATTCAGTTTCTTAATTTTTATATAATGTAGATAGTAATATTATTGTATATTTCATTTTTCATCAAAATTATTATAAATTAAAAAACATAAAATAAAATAATATTTACGTATGATTATTAATTATTCTTAATCATATCTGAATAGAGACGCAATCGAACGACCTTCACTCCACAACAGCTCCAAGAATTGGAATCACTTTTCCAGAAGACCCATTATCCAGATGTTTTCTTAAGAGAAGAAGTCGCTCTTAGAATTTCGCTCTCAGAGGCTCGTGTTCAGGTTAAAAAAATAAATATTTTTTTGTTCTATTTTTTCTTTGATATCAAATTACATACATTCTATTTTTTCTTTAATATCAAATTAATAGAATAATTTGTTAAGAAGTTAATCTCTTTTATATTTCTTTTCTTTTTAATCTTAGTTCCTATTTGGAATAATTTATGTTGTCTATCATTGTAAATGTTCATTCAATTTATAAATGTTTACTTTTATTTTAAAAAAATTTGACAAATATTTATATTTATATTATGCATAATATCATTATTATAATATATAATATTTACATTTCGTAAATATTATTAATTAATTTACATAAATTTACATATGTAAATTAATTAATAATATTTTTAAATGTATATATTTTATCGTGATAAAGATAAAAAAAATTATTTGTTGTTTTAGGTTTGGTTTCAGAATCGGCGAGCAAAATGGAGAAAACAAGCCCGATTGCAATTGTTACAAGATGCATGGAGAATGCGATGTTTGGGATTAGGAAGTGCAGCACCTCT